ATTTTCAGGTTTCAGGAAACTCTTAAAGTGTTGCCTGGAGTGTTGTTAAACACTTCACAGCTTGATTTAACCCACAAAACTTCATTTAACGAGCAGAAAACTCGATTTTCTCATTTCAGGTGGATCATTTGGCCCAAAAAACCTCTGAGCTGGTTGTGTCAGAGAGCAGGACGAGGAGTGGGAAGATATTTCAGAGCTGCCTTGTGAGTACCACAGGTTTTTCCTCTTTAGTTCTTCCTATTTTCTGTTCTTTTGCTGAGCTTGAGTGATGAAACTCTCATCCCTAAATTCCCACTGGATTTGGGAGGAGGAATTCTGTCCCCAAGAATTCTGAGCTGGTGCAGGTGACACAGGTTGAGGGAGATCCTTTGGGTTTGGTTTCTCTCCTCCTGGGAATGCCTCCAGCCAAATTCCCTGCTGGTTCAATCCATCCCTGATGGGAATCTGTGCCAGCAGAGATCCTGCTGATTTTACCTGGCAAAATCCAGGCCAAAATCCCTGGAATTGTCCCAGGCCAGGTTGGAGCAACCTGGGATAATGGAAGGTGTCCCTGCCCCTGGCAGGGGGTGGCACTGGATGAGCTTTGGGTCCCTCCCAAACCATTCCAGGATTCTGTGATTCCCAGGGATTTTTCTTACTCAGTGGTGTGATAAAAATCATGGAATGGGACCCAGGATGGGAACAGACCTTGGAATCAGGGAATGGTTTGGGTTGGAAGGGACCTTAGGGCTCATGCCAGGGGCAGGGACACCTTCCACCCTCCCAGGTTGCTCCAGCCTGGCCTGGGACAATTCCAGGGAGGGGAATCCATGGAATAACCTGTGCCAGGACCCCCCCCCCCTCCCAGGGAAGGATTTCTCCATATATCCAACCGAAATTCCCCCTTTTTCAGTCTGAACCCATTCCCTTTGTCCTACACTACAGTTCCTGATGGACACAGCTCCCTGTGGAACTGTGACAGCAGGGACACATCCCAGCAGGAAATATCCCAACAGGAAATATCCCAAAAGAGACACATCCCAGCAGGAACACATCCCACATCCCAACAGGGACACATCCCAACATCCCAACAGGGACAAATCCCAGCAGGAAACATCCCAACAGAGACACATCCCAGCAGGGACACATCCCAACATCCCAGCAGGGACACATCCCAACATCCCAGCAGGGACACATCCCAGCAGGGACACATCCCAACAGGAAATATCCCAAAAGAGACACATCCCAACAGGAACACATCCCAGCAGGAAATATCCCAACAGGAACACATCCCAACAGGGACACATCCCAACAGGACACATCCCAACATCCCAACAGGGACACATCCCAACAGGGACACATCCCAACAGGAACACATCCCAGCAGGAAATATCCCAACAGGAACACATCCCAACAGGAACACATCCCAACATCCCAACAGGGACACATCCCAACAGGACACATCCCAACATCCCAACAGGGACACATCCCAACAGGACACATCCCAACATCCCAACAGGGACACATCCCAACATCCCAACAGGGACACATCCCAACAGGACACATCCCAACATCCCAACAGGGACACATCCCAGCAGGGACACATCCCAGCAGGGACACATCCCAACAGGAACACATCCCAACAGGAACACATCCCAACATCCCAACAGGGACACATCACAACATCCCAGCAGAGACACATCCCAACAGGAAATATCCCAAAAGGGACACATCCCAACAGGGACACATCCCAACATCCCAACAGGGACAAATCCCAGCAGGAAACATCCCAACAGAGACACATCCCAGCAGGGACACATCCCAACAGGAAATATCCCAAAAGAGACACATCCCAACAGGAACACATCCCAGCAGGAAATATCCCAACAGGGACACATCCCAACAGGACACATCCCAACAGGACACATCCCAACAGGACACATCCCAACATCCCAACAGGGACAAATCCCAGCAGGAAACATCCCAACAGAGACACATCCCAACAGGGACACATCCCAACATCCCAACAGGGACAAATCCCAGCAGGAAACATCCCAACAGAGACACATCCCAACAGGGACACATCCCAACATTCCAGCAGGGACACATCGCAACAGGAACACATCCCAGCAGGGACACATCCCAACAGGACACATCCCAACAGGGACACATCCCAACAGGACACATCCCAAAAGGGACACATCCCAACAGGAACACATCCCAACAGGGACACATCCCAACAGGAACACATCCCAACAGGGACACATCCCA